GTTTCTTCCATTTTCCTACATGAATGTTATTGCGGACTGTAAAACAAGCATCGGTTGGCTAGATTAAAGTTTTCTGTCCTCTCTGATTACTGTTTCCTATGTCAGGATTTACAAAGATCAAATTGATACTTCATAGTTATCTTGTCAAATAATACGGCGAAGCAGTTCGATTATCTCATTCACTATTTCTTGTCAACAAATCCACGTAGAAGAAATTAACTTCGTATTTTCCCGAGGTTCAAAGTTTTTCTAAGGCAGGATATGTTTTTTCCTAATACTTGAACACATACTAGTATTTGATCTATTTGAATTTTCCCGATGCAAAACATCGCTGAATACTAATCAACATCTCCTACTCACAACGATGACTACTCAACGGGTAAGACTCATTGATATGAATCATATCAGAAAAACATTGAACCTAAAAAAGCGAATCAAATCGCAAACGATTTGAGAAGAATAAACTATCACACCTCTAGATTGAAAACAAATATTAACGTCCTGAGTCAATTCTGAAACTTCGAACTTCGTTGATATGAGTCACTTCCATAGCACTCTGCTCCAAGCTACCCTTGTGTTGCAGAAAAACAGAAGCATGACTCAAACCAAAACAATCAGAGGTACGTTTTTAATAATTTTGTTTATTTTTTCACGCTCCGAATGGACAAATCTAAAGAGGAGGGTGGTGTTGGAATTTGGAATTCTATATCAATTAAAATGCATATTCGTAAAGGTCTATGAGTGCTGACGATATTTTCTATGAGTCTCTATGGGTTGAAATTGAGTCATCAGTCATGGAAAACTTTAATTGTTGTTTCTTACTGCTCAAAAAATTCTCTCCATAGTTTTTTTTGACAATTTAGGGGTAAAATTTCTCAAGCGTGGGCTTCAGAAATGGGAGCTTTTATATTTGGGGACTACAATATAAATCTTTTATACATTAGGAGGCCAAACTGTGCAGTCTGCGCTTATAAACGGATCAGATTTGTCGCGGAATCCTCAACATTGCTACATTTCTTTTGTCATCTCTGCTGTTTCGGATTCCACAAACAAATAACTAGAAGACTGTACCGCTCAGCAACGCTACAAAAACAGGCGCTTTTTCGGAATCCGCAACAGTATTTGCGAAATTCGGAACAGTCTGTGGAATCCACAAGAAATCAGACGACTTGCGTATAGCTAACATTAGTTGTTGCGAAATCTGCAACTAAAAGCGGAGTCCAAATATTCTAAGCGAATCCGCAATTTGGAAGTGGGATCAGCATTTTCGTTACGAATTCCCTTTACATATATGTATATACGTAGTAGCATTTTAAAGTATATATTTTATTAACTAGGTGGCCACAAGCAAGTTCATTTAATTACTAAAACTCAATTACTAAGTTGATTAGCTACCAGATCAAGAACCACACGTTCGATCTCAATCCATGCCCCTATCTTCAATCTCAATTCCTGTCAAACACCTAACTTCGATCTTTATTCCTGTGAAACACCCAACTTCGATCTCAATTCCTGTCAAACACCCAACTTCGATCTGAATTCACCTGAGATACCCAACTTCGATCTCAAGTCTTTCGATTTCAAGTCTTTAGACTCCAATTTCTTCGATCTCAATTCCTGTTTTTTTTTCCTGATCAAGCAACGCTTCTTTTTATTGCCGGAGCTTTATTAGTTTTATCTAATCGAGAAGCATTTGTGCTCCATGGCACCCTTCAGATAACAGATAGTTCCTAGATAAGTTTGAAAACAGACGAGGTAAAAAAATCTGAAGTCTTACCATTTAACAGAGTCATTTTTGGACACACAACAAACAAGAAAGAACTACATTTTTCCGAAAAAAAAAATTGCAGCATTTTCATGTTTACAAAAACCAAATGACCCATGGAGCTAATCCATTGCAAGCTGACGTTCTCTCTATACTTGAATAAAGAACCCGTCTGCCATAAATCTCTATAAGTTATAGCAAATATCCGAAATTATGAAGATAACAAAAACGTAAAAAGTAGGTTTAGAACGAAATGACTAATATATCAACACACAGGCAAACTCCTGTGTAAACGTTTTGCTAACTTAGTAGTACATGATGCTAACTCAGTATTTGGATAAGAAAAAGAAAAAAATTCGGGACACTCTGACAAACAATCACATATCAAAAAATTTTTAAAACATTGAAAAGGTTTTAATCAAAAACTTTCAAATTGTGACTTACTCTAAAACCGTTGTTTCTTGATTTCAAGAAACAGTTTAACATGTTTAGAAGTCAAAAAAATTTTAAAAAAATTCTAGAGTTCGGTCAAAATTGACCTCGTTGTCCCGACATTCCAGATGATGAACTTTTCAATTTTCTAGGTAACCGACCTAAACCTATTTTAACGCAAGAAATTACCTTTAGCAAGCATTGAAAATCCAAAAAAGATATATTCCATGTTCCTATGCTGAAAAGCTGCGGAGCGAACCAACTTTCAAGCAAACAGCAAAAAACACCCTTAAAATTAGGTTTTTAGGGAAAAAAAGTTTTAAATGAAAAATAATTTTTTATCAAAAATCTAGGCTCTTCCGCCTACAAACAATCTGGTAAGTTTTCATCATAATCCATCTTTTACTTAAGATGGGACAAATTTTTTAGTATAGACAATTTTGAGGTTATACGCCAGTCTTCAAAAAAATTTCTTATTACAGAAACGATTGTTTTGACAAAAAAAACGTAACGTTTTAGTTACAGGTCCAACTAGTTTGCTCATAAGAACAACCTGGCAACACTATCATACTTGTGCAGACACTTACACCGATACGACTGAATTCTCCATTTTGAGAAATTATTCTGATTTGATCCGTTTCATTTTGGCCTAATTTCGCGTTTTAACAGTTTTTAAAGCAAATAATTGATACAGAATTCCAAATTGAGTTTTGACTACTAAAAATTTAAGCCAATTATAGTTGTTAAAACGTAAAACAAATTGAAACCAGCATTTTTTTTCATACAAGCAATATAAATTTTAGAGTTTCAATCTGAAAAGTTTCTGGCAACATATTTCGCAAGATTTTTGCAATGAATAATATATACACGAGTTACTTTTCAAATTAATACGTGCTATCCACATGCGAGACCAGTCTATCCTAGCTGCTTTCTTGGGGAACCACTCTATCATAGTAAACCTAGCGTGCACACTGGGTGTTCTTTCAGCTCATCTCAAATAATGCCTTCACAATTGAAATCACATTCTATCAAATTTATCAAGAAATGGAATTGATTGAAACCAATATGGATTCATGGAAGTCTAAGATCGATTGAACTAATTCTGCGATATGCTCTGCGTTGTGTTTTTAAACACTCTCAACCCATTAAACTCCAATTAATGCATTTAATTGGTTTTGTGTTTCCAAATTTTGATCCAAAACTGCTCTGATATGTATCCCAAATACTAAAGGATGATATCCACTGATTTAGTTCACCAAGGCTTCAAGAATTGTTCGTGGATTCCGCTGACTTGTTGCGGAATCCACGAAACAAATGTGCTGACCAACTTACGACAGGTTTTTGTACGCGGAATCCACGGAAATTTTCTAAGTGGAGTCCGTTTCCATTTTGCAACATGTGTAAAGATTTATCTCAACATTCAGTGGCACAATAGAATCTGTGTGTGATATTAGTACAAGTGGTACATACATTTGAATTAGCTGATTCGGCTGCTAAAAACAAGGTTTGAACAGGTTCAAAATTTCTTGTGCAAAATTCTGAAATTCCAAACATCGAAAAGTCAAACACCTAAACTGCATTTTATCGCAAGTGTAAGAGAAAAGACATAATTATATGACGTAAGAATCAGAAAAAGTTCGTTTAACTGGTTTCGGGTTTAGAAGAAAATGCAGCTCTTAACTAATTTCATCATAAATTGCTGTTTTTTTATTATTCAAATTTTGTCAGAAGTATGTTGCGTTTCATTATTAAGCAACGCAGTCACCTTTGAAACTCACATAAGACTAGGGGCGAATCTAGGATTTTCTCGAGGGGGAGGGCGGATTTTCAAAAAATTTTCGAAAAATTTGACCTTTTTTTAGGTTGAACAAATTGATTTTCGGAGCTCTCCTGAAGAACTAAAAAGACGCCTTTTTGCCCAAATTTTCTGAGCCTCAGGCAAATTTTTGAGAAAATCAGACACCGGGCAACCAGACACCGTTGAAAAACAAAACTGCCGAACTTGAGAATACAATCACTCGTTTTGAAGTACCCAGTTTTGTTGTCAACAATCATTTTGGTTGACTGATGGCCAATTAGGGCCTTGATTTGTTATTGACATTGGGGGCTATTCTCATGCGCAAAGGACCGAATGGGCGAAAAAACTAGTGGACGAAGGACCGAAAACAAAATTAGCCCGAAGTCAATTTTTTAAAAGGAGCAATTGCTAATCAATTAAAGTGATTTAAATGAAGCAATGGTTTGCTTCTTCCATAACAAAATCCTTAAAATATAAAATTTGTTCCAATTCGGCGGCGGTCGGTGACAATTTTGCATATTTCTGCGGTTTTTATATTCGGTCAAAATCAATTTTCAGTCACTGGAAATGTTTACTTTCTTCCAAATTTTAAATTACTGAAATCTGATTGACTGACTTTTAATTTCAGGCACTCAGTCCTTCGCGTACGAGGGATTCCACCATTGAAATTTGGTTAAACGCCTTTTAAGCAATCAGTATCAATCGGATATTTGATCTTTTATATTTTCATACACCTTTTCGATATTTGCTCTGGTAACGCTGCTTTTTAGAAGATTTTTGTAATCTTTGGTTACTTGACCTACCGGATAATGGCACGGTACCCATTATTCTCTTAGTTCTACGAGCAGAAATATTAGCGATAAATCAGCTATCGTTTTCGGTGGTAATTTCAGATTTGCTGCGCTTTTGGAAGACATTTGGTAAGCAATATTAAATTTACTGTGATAAAAATTGCTTATAAAAAACTACTGTTATAATTTGAAAAGAATTGTCGACTTATTCTTGGGAAGCTTACCTTAATTCAGAAAGGGTCTTTCTAGCTAGACTATGAATGCGAACTTATGAAAACTCAGAACGTTTATATTTCATAAGGAAATTTGAAGTGGAAAATTGTTATCAAAACAACCAGCATAATTGAATAATTAGAAGCTTATTCTATAATCACTAGATGATTGTAGACTCTAACACAGGCAGTTTTTTTGTGCTTTTCAATTTTTTCGTTTTCTTCATCTCCATTCTCATTTTCATCTATTTCTTCGTCGTAGTCCTGAATGTACTTCACAACTGCACGCCTCACTACGAAGTAGTCATCTTTAGTTGCCTTGAAAATATCTAAAACAGATGACATATAAAAGAAAATTGACAGCTTAGTTCAAATTCTTGTGGCTAATTTCAATAATTGCCTTTTAAGCAAACACTGATAGTAATACTGTGTTCAGAGAAGTTTTTACGCAACATATGTTTTACTTCCAAAAAAGTGTAGTAGTGAAATTTAGGTAACTTGGATTTTTTTGTATTTTTTTTTACTTAGTTTCATGATGTTTTCTTCTGTAGATTTGCTATTCAAGGGCAGCTGTTAGTAGACCCTTATGGTCTCGTTAGTTGTCGCTTCCGATGAGTACATTAATTTTGAATTTCTTTTATATTCTGTAATTGAATGTATTTATTTATCTATCGGAAAAATAAATCCTTTTCGACCCAAACTTTGAATTGAAGTTAATATACAACTTTTCTGATCTAATAATTCCTTAATTTGTTTTTTAATGCCTCGTAAATGGAAAGGTCGCTACGAGTAACTGAATGTGCTCAATTGATCTCAAAACGGGATGACTTTTTTTCTTTTCCCCCAAGTCTACGTTGACATCAGCATCAGGATACAACGCGTAGTTTTCCGAAATCGAATCGCACAAAACAAAAGTTGATCCAGTAAAAACTCGCAGGTGATTAAGAAGGGTAAGAGGAACAATACACCAATACACATTAGTTCATGCGAAAGAAGTATTACCAATTAAGTCGTTCACAGATACAACCAGGGTTCGCTTCGTGACTAACTCTCCATTCTTCAGCACTTTTTTCTCTTGGATCAATGACTCGATCTTTTTGGTCTGATGAATATTAAACACAGACTTCAAAATATCTTTTACCTGTCGTTGCATGAGAGGTGCGCAGTTGCTCTTGCTGTTACAAAAAGATAAGGAAAAAAGGTTCTCAATTTTTTTTTCTTACAAAATGCCTAAAAGAATAAAATTTACCATCAGTTCCTCCAGTCAAGTCGAAGAGATGGTATCAAGATAGCTCCCGAATCTTTATCAAGCATAGAAAATACAACTTTTCAATAGGTGAAGGTGCAAATGGAAATTAAAAATCCCCAAAATCGGTTAGAAATCCGGAACTCATTCATTTTAAAATCATAACCTCGTTCTTTGAAATCAAAAAGGAACAATGTCCGCTTTCTGGGCAGTTCGCACAAAGTTTTCCGATAACAGTTCTCGTTTTTCTGTAAGAGCAGGGGAAGGTTACGTGTATTAGGAATTCTCGATATTTTTATTCAGTTTCTTTTGTGTACGAATTATAAGTCTTGTGCTACGCAATTGCAGCCGGGAAAACAGCTCCAGCTCAATTGACTGCTTTTTTGAAACCCGGAAAATTTAAGGAATTTTTCAATGCAACTCAATTCGTGAAGTTTAATTTAAAACCTGGAACTGAGTGGAAAAACACGCCAATCCGATTTACTCCACACAATCTACGGGCAAGTCTTAACAAAATTCTTCCCCCAAACTACTATCAAGCGTAAATTTTCAACCATATATCAAGTTATATTTAAAGGAAATTTGAAACAGAAAACAACCCGAAAATTCGGTTTTTGAATAAAGTGCTTATACAAAGTTGCTTACATAAAAGTTTAGAGTAGCAGTAACTATTATCTTCAGTTTTTTCAAAATTTGCTGCAAAAACAACTGCGCGGCTTTACTTGACATTTTTCCAGATTTACAATCTTGAATTGATACTGAAGTTCAGCATTCGGATCAAGTGCATCTTCGAAAAAGTCAGCCTCAAAATCATTGTCTGTGATATAGTCTGGAGATTCTTCGTCCTTATATGTAGTGTCCGACAAAAAAATTCTGAATTGCAAGTTTGGGCTCCCAGTTCTGAAAACATGATCTCGTTGTATATTCAATATTTTATCATTTGTCTTCAGACTAAATAAATTTGGCGTAGTAGTCCACAGACATCGACTGCTTATTCTGAAGCCACGGCAAATACTACAGACGCTAGTTGTTCTCAGCCAACTACAATACATCTGGAAAAACCCAGTAGCTTGAAGAACAAGCTAAGCAGAGCTATCTAATGGTGAGATAATTAAACCTGATGCTAGTTAAGAAACTATCAGCCTCAGATCCCTTAACTAAACTCCAGATGGTATTTCAAAAAAAAACAATTGAGGAGTTCAAATTTAAATTGTTTAAATTCTGAACAAATGAAACAAAGATGTTTAATCGAAGAGTCCGAATCCCATGTCGTCATCAGATTCCTCCTCTTCCTCCTCTTTCACTTCCTCCTTTACTTCAGCCTTGACAGCTTTACCACTGTCTCCGCTTGCTGCAGTTGGGGCGCCGGCACCTCCAGTAGGAACTGATGACAATTTACCCACTCCAGAAGCGATGAGTTCCTATGAGATAAAACACCTGATCTAAGACTATTTCATGCATATTAACGATTTGTCACTTAAACAAATGACAATGAATGATTTCATATGAAAAAAACTCATAAGAGTTAACGATTAAATAAGTACAATCAAAAAATGCGAATTTATTACAGTGTAATTTTAAAATTCTTCGATTGATAGTTTTCAGCAGAAACTTAAACCTGAATATTTTTTCCATCCAACTTATCGAGGAGTTCTTGCAACTTCGAATCATCAATATTGGAACCGACAGCTTGAAGAATTTCTTTGATATTCGTTTTTGATGGAGTATTACCACCTAGCTCGACTAACAACGCAGCTGCAACATACTTCATTGTGTAACCTGAAAGATTTTTTGATCATGACTTACTGAGGTGTCAATGCATGTCGTAAACACATCAATTAAAAGGCAAAACGAATCTCTAACTCAGAGGCGATACAAAACAACATATCATTAAAACTAGCCGACCGAAAATGAGACCGAAAGCCGCTAATCTTTTTTCAAATTGGAAAGAAGTTGTAAATACCAAAAAAAGTTAACGAGGTGGTAACAAAGCTGACAATTTTAGAGCAGAAAACCGTGGAGAGCAAAATATGTTCCATAAAAAGTTTGAAATCACAAAAAATTAAGATTAAAATAAGAAACTTTTTTGCTTGTCGAGTGACGCAAAGTTTGGCCATTTAGACAGCTTAGTAGAAACACACGCCTTTTAAGCCAAGTAAATAAAAAATTGCCGATATGAAATTACACTACAATGCAAAGTACCGCCAATGCTCAATGGTGGAGTGGTGTATCAAATTGATTGTTCTGGCTGGGGGGCCAGCTATGTCGGTAAAACCAATCGACATTTTGCCACTCGGCTCTCAGAGCATCTCAAGCGAACATCTCCACTAGGAGAGCATTTACTGAATTGTGTCGGTCATACGAAAGATGCGAGGAGCAAGATCGTTGATAAGACGAGGTTTTCCGACAAACTTTTATCTTTGAAAGCTATCTATATCGCACAACTGGACCCGCAGTTAAATACTAGAGAAGAGTATGCGCAGCGCCACTTGACCCTGAAACTGTGAGCAGAGGCAGGCGCGGGATTTTCTTGTTTCTATGTTTTGATGTATATCAGCTAGTAACTTGTTTCTTTCATTGTTTAGTGTCTGTATTTATAATCAGTTTCTTTTTTGATTTTCAGTTCTGATGATTATGATAAAATCGAAACGCGTCAAACTTTGATGTTTTTAATGAAATTACACTGAAATCGAACTTGATAAATTAATAGTAATCAGAAGGTCAAAAGTATCATAGTAACCGAGGTTACAGTCAAGAGTCCCTTCATCACATTTTCCAGTCAAAATCCTTGGAATTTTCTATATTTGGAAGTGATCATGATAAAAGAAGATGACAAGTCTTGATGTCCTTACAATTAAAATCGATACTTGGTAAATTTGATACAAACATCTAAATAACCAAGGCGAAGCACAGCTTCACACAATCAAAGCAATGTAAGCTAGCAGGCAGAAAATTATAGGAAATTTACAATGTAGGAAAAAAGGGAAAAATCACATTTAGATTTTTCCCGAAATTCAGGTGCGTACATTTATCTACGTTGAAAGGCATATTGTTTTCCAGGGTACATAGACTCACATTGTCAAGGTTTTTTGAAATTCATCCCTCCCCAAATTTATGCTATTGAATTTGGCATCGTCTGCGAATAATAATGGTATAATTGTATTGCATTTGTCAAGCAGGTCATTTATGAAAACCAAGAAAAACAAGGGTCCCAAAATACTGCCCTGGGGTACACCGCTCGTTACTCTTTCTGAATTTGATACTTCGCCATTTACTCGTACGACTTGAGACCTTTCTGTTAGGTATGATTTAATTAATTTCAAGTTTTTATCCCTGAATCCTTGTTCGAATAATTTCCGCAACAAAATTCCGTGGTCAACACGGTCAAAAGCCTTACTATAATCTGTAAAAACCGTTTCGATACTGTCGCCATTTTCATGACCGTTATAGACTAGCTGCAAAAATGTTAAAAGCTGAACAATGGTCGATCGGTTGTTCCGAAATCCGTACTGTGCCTTGTGGAAAGTCTTTTCAAAATGTTCATATAATCGATTGAAAATTATTCGTTCTAGAATTTTCGAGATTACTGAGAGCAGAGAAACAGGTCTGTAATTTTCAATGTCACTTTTGTCATCTTTTTTATGCAAAGGGCTAATGATGGCTTTTTTCCAACATGCGGGGAAAAAACAGGTTTGAGAAATTTTTCGGAATATCTGATAGATTGAATGAGATAATGTTTCTGCATTTTTGAATAGAAAAGGAGGTAGATCATCCGGGCCTTTGCTTTTATTTACATTCAACAGTTTGCATATTTCAAAAATATCTTGTTCTGAAAAATCGATATTTTCTAAAATTGGTTGATTTTTGTTACTGCTTTCGTTTTCGTTAAAAATTGACGACTCCACATATACTGATGCAAAAAATTTTGAAAACAAAGCTGCTTTTGAGACATCCGTATCTGCATTTTCGTTTTGATAATGCATTATACTAGGCAAAACTGATTTTCGGAAAGCCCTAAAATATTTGAAAAGTTTGCCGGTTGATCTTTCAGCTGCCATGGATTCCTCATAACTAACTTTATCGAATTCGATAAGCTGGTCTGTTTTCGATTTTGATAACACTACTTTAGTATGTGACTCATTGTGTTTTTTCCGAGCAGTGTTCAAACATTTTATCATATGGGAGGTTGATTGACTTATCCAGGGGGGTAAGGATGTACGATGTTTTGTGCGTTTAGGATTTTGCATTTTTACCCTCTGTAGGAATTACCCTCTGTTTGAGCAAGAGGCAAATTACAAAGATAAACTTAAGGGACTACAAATTTTACCACTGCCCATGTACATACAATTGAACAACCTGTTACTGCTGGCAAAATTAATTTTGAAACGATACGATACTTATATGATTGATGTTCCACAATACATAGACTTCTCTCGCTATCCTATGTTTCAGCTAAAGCGTCCATCAAAGTACAGGTGTGAACAAAATTTCTTTTACCAGACATGTCGTCTTGCGAAGTCACTTAGGATAGATTTGCGAAATTGGTCTGGACTGAAAGGCGCCCTGCTCAAAGTGTTCTGGAACAAATTTGCACTCTATGACGAAAGAAATAAATGCACATGGAAGCTTGCATGTGATTGTGCGACAAACAATTGTAGAACTAGACTCGCGATATGAGACGTGAAGGATGACAAGGGCCTGGACCCCTTGTGGAAACACTAAATCCCTACTACTAATACTACTACTACTAATATAGATTTTCAAAACTTGTAGATTCACAAAAATGTACGAAAACGTTTGTTTGAATTTACAATTTTAACGCATTCTCAAAAAGGGAAAAAAAATTATAGCAGTGATTCACCACCCATCTTGATAGTTCAATAAAGGGGGAATCACAGTCAGACATTAACCAACTGTCATCAACGTATTGAATTATTAAGTTTGTCTAGAAAACGACATTATACCTGATTTTTTGAGGTTCATGGTACAGTAAAATTGGGTGTTTTGAAACCAAAAGGTACACAGTTTTCAGGCAAAGCTTCTAAGAACGGAGATTAACAAGGCAAGGACAGATGAGAAAAACGTTGAAGTCGAACTGGAAAGGTCGAGAGGCCCAGAACAGAGGGGTGTAGATGAGAAGTTTTGGCCTTCGGTAATGAAATACTTCAGTCGCAGGGGACATCGACTAACAACAACTGTTTAAGAGACCCACCAAAAGAAGCTAATGAAACTATCAGAAAGGCAAGATCGACTTCTAGGGAAGCAAAATGAGGGTTCGGTAAAAGCTCTTGATGATGTTGAATTACCAGAGTGGGTACAACAAGTGTTGGCATTAGGTCTGAAAAATCCTGTCAGGGATAAATTTTAATGAGACACACTTTCTCGCCGATATTGCCATCTTTCTATCGGATCTCAAAAATTGTAAATTCCCTAGGAGGGCCCTTAGTGAGATCGAAGCTGTGGCAAAAGCCTATGCTAAAAGGGTGAAACAAACACCAACTGACAAGGGCATTGAGAAGGCCCGAAAATATAAAATTTGATATCTCTAGATGTAAAGAGTTTGTACACAAATGCTCCACACAAAGACGCAATAGACATAGCTCTGACAAAAACTGTTTGAGCAAGATGCAATTGCTAGGAAAACCAGTCAGAGCCTGTTGAACATGGCAGTTAGTCCAGTCCAATTCAAGTATACTCAAGTATGTCAAGTAAATTCAGAGAGATGGTTTGACAATGGGGGCATCTCTTACCGTTATTTCAGCAAATCTTTGAAAACTACACTATCGAGGGATTTTCCCGAAATGTTTTTGCCCGAGAAAGTTCTTAGCGGAAAATGTCCCGAGTGCAATAACAAGGTCTTGTACAGGTCAAAAGAGGTATGGAATGTGAAAGCTGTTTGAACTGGTATCATGAAAAATGCGGTGATATATCAGATGCTGAGTATCTAAAAATAAGTGAAACCTTGTGATACTGTAAAAAAATGCATCGCGATAGGGGAGTAAAATAAGTCAGTGAAGCAAGCTAAGTAATTTCTCTGTTACGTTGACGATATGAGTGAGAACAGTGAAGAGTGATCCTAAAAAGGTGATACGGGCAGCAAACTTACTACATCCAAAGGGGGATCACAGTCAGACATTAGCAAAAAAAGTGCACGATATCACCAATTCGCATATAATATTCACGACCACGAAAATGAAAATCTGTATACCCTCTACAAAATCATCCTTTTCCAGTGAACTGAAATCAAAAGTGGGGTACAGACTTGAATGTTGTGGGTGAGAATCCATCTCTGTTGGCCAGACGGTCCGACATCTCACCACAAGGATTGAGGAACACCGAAAAAAGGACACCCCGTTTGGACAGCATATCAGGCAGTGTGGTTGTGAGAGTGGCAAGTCGAGGTTTAATTCAGAGATAATTGACCAGGCGTCCAGCAACATTAACTTCTTACAATAGAGGCGCTGCACATAAGGGAAGAGATACTGGGAATTAACACGCGCGACGCGTTTAGAAGTAGGGAGCTGACACTGATGCTTTAGTTCCAGAATCGAAAATTCTGGCTAAAACAAAAAATATTGAAGTAACTTACATGTTAGCATGAAATTAGCGACAAAATGAAATTGTGAAAACAAAAAAATGGAACAAAAAGATAATTTGTGACTGAATGACTAAAATTGTTACATAATTTCAGTAATATTTGTGAAGTTGTGATTGGTTGATTTTTTTAAATTTTGAAATAATGATGAGTATGACATTTTTTATGATCTTTGATCTTT